GATGGTATACCCAGACAAAATAATAAACAGATTTTTAGGAAACATTAACTTATATTTCACATGTGGTACCCAGATATAACCAAAGCACAACATGACTTTAAAGTGACTGAATTTTAGAAACAGTTATCTAAGCTGGCTCTTCTAATAGATCTTTTTCCCTCAGTGTGTTGGATTTCACTTACAAATACACAATAAAGTAATCCATGTTTTAACAAAAACAATGTTCCATGGTATTCATACTTTTTTTTTCTCATCATATAGTTTGTTTTCTTAAACAGAAATCACTTCACAAGCAAATCAACACTCAGGACTGCCAAGTTCTTGCACGTATCTGCCTTCTTTAAAACATGCTTACCTAGGCAGTTATGCTGGAATGGTGAATATTTGATTCCTTCTCATTTTGACAAGTTTCAGTATAGCAATATATTTCCATTTAATGTATCTTGTTAAATTTTCACAGCACTGCTGAACTCTTGCCTGCTTACTATGATGGCATGCACCTTTATGACCTCTGTCCAATTGTTACAGGGCCAACTGTTTATCATAGAATTTAGAGGATTCAAGAAAACTCTACAAAGTCACTCAACATTCATTAGTGCCAATATTTAGAATATTGAAATATACAAGTGAGAATCATAAGGCTAATTCACTTTTTTTTTCTGATGGTTATTATAAATGACAAAGACACATTTTTCATGTATAAAGTTCACAAAATAGAATCAGAATGATCAAGATTAATTTATTTCAATCTTTCTTCATTTCCTCAATTGGGAATTACTGAACTTTTAATCCAATTAGGGTTCTGCCTACAGTGATCAGGGATCACTAAATAATTATAGATTATCTATGCTATCATGTCTGCCATACTGTCCTACCTCAAGCATTTCATTCCTTTTTGAAGGGCAATCATTCCATTTTCTATCTGTTTCCCTAGACTGCATTTATACATGTTATATTACATATATTATCTTTACCTAAATGGTGGCATTATGTACATGCTGCTCTGTACTTCACTTTTTTCACTTAACTAAGTAAGCTGAAGACGGTCCATTTTGGTATAAACTAAAGCCACCTTTTTCTTTTTATTCCTTTTTATTTTTTTAAGAGCTTCTTAATATTTAATTTTGATATTTCTTTTATATCATAAATAGTTCTCTTATAGTTCATCATAAAACTTAACACTTCAGTAACTCTTTACAATTTACAAAGTACTTTCATTCTATTTCATCAAATTCTCACCACAATCATAAAGACATACTGAATAGGCAAAATTATTCCTCTTCTACAGAACCAGCGAGTACATGGCAGGCCTAGTACCCAAGAAATTTTACCCCTGGACTATGGCTAGATCTCTTGATTCAAAGATAAAGCAGTACCCTTTCCAGACAATGGCCCTGCCTAAAATAAAATGAGAAATACAAGGACAGTACAATACATCATAAAGTTAAATATCTTCAGCCTGAAAACCTTTCCTTTACCCTTAGAAACTGACCTTTCGCCTACCTACATAAAGATACATCTACTTAAACTCTTTAATGCTCTTAAAGTAGAGAATTTCAAGATAGAGGAATTAATTTTTCCCTCTTCACTACAAATAAATCCTTCTTTGAAGTTATTGAACTATCAGAGAGAGAAAACATCTTCTGCATGAAATTGTAATAAGCTAGGATTTAAACATTGACAGATGGCATCTGAGCAGGTCAAGAACAGAGTAAAGTCCCATAAACATCACATATTCTGTCATTTTTATAGATTGCTCCAAAACATCCTTTATTAATAAAAATAAATAATAAATAGCTTGAACTAAAAAGTATCTAAATAACTCATACTTATTCAATCTAAAACCAAGACCTCAGAACCAAAGGCTGAACCATAGTGCTACTGTATCAGCACTAGGCTAAGAGTAGTTAGCATTGCCTTACAGTAAGCCCTACCTATCCAATCTATAAATTCATAAATGCCATTCTGTATTCAACTATCTGGAGCATTTGGGAATCCAGTCATCTTTTATAAACAGACAACAATAAATAAGAACACTGTATCAAATGATGAGCTCTTCTAAGAAGGACTATTTATCCCAGATTCTAAATCAGCACCTAAAACTAAGCAAAACAGTTAATATTTTTTCCCTTAATTTTATCGAGAAACAAATAGCAATGAGACAGTTTCAAATCAAATTGGTAGGACAGTTTCAATGATTAACACATTACATACATTCTTCCCAGTGGTTAATTGCTGTACAAGATGCGGACATGATATCCTATTTACAAACACCATTAGAACAAATCACTCTATTATAACTATATACCTATCCCAACCACTTTGAATACAGATACAAAATGGACATTCATCTGTATACCTTTTTTTTGTTAAGTTCCATTATTTGAATATTATAGGTGTATAAATTCAGCAAAATATTCTAAAAGAGTCCAGTAGCCCATAATAGTATTGGGTCTTCCGCTTGACTGGCAATGTCAGAAATTGTTGACCTGAGTCC